TCATTTTTTTAATCTATTAAGAAGTTTATGTGTTATAAATGTTAAAAGAAATTTTTGGCATTCAAGCGAATGTTACATGTATTAATTAAAAAAAAGAGAAAGGATTTGCACACTGACTATTAAGTGCGCCTTATTAATTAGTGTAACATTTATTAAATTGTACTGTTGAGTTATTCCGTGATAATCACTTCCAAATTTTCACTTCGTAACACATGTAAATCATTTCCGATTTATATGTTCATTTTCTGTGATTTATAATTTACTATTTCACAATAGGCTTATAGGTGAAGAATTATTACGTCACAATATTCTAAAGAGTGGTTCAAATACTACATGGCTCGATAATCTTATGGAAGAATGGGGAAAAAACCATGCTCAATTCATACAAATTTTTAGCCAGGCCTGAAGCATATACTTTTATTAACCTGAAATATCTTTGTCTTTTTTGGGTGAGTTGGAGACTTGAAGCTTTGCCTCTTCTAAAACTGGTGAATTTGGTGATGCAGTTTGATCTGAAAAAAACAACTAACTATTATTTATCAATTTCCATTATATCTACTATTGCCCACAATCCATGATGAGTAATCAAGAAAAAATTTGCTGATATCAGTAAGTCCTGATATAATAGCTTTATAGGTCTTTTTGATTACAAGTTGGATTGCATCACATTTCTGCTAACATCAAATCTATTTCTGCAATTTGAACATCAAAAGGATTATAGTGCACTTTATTTGAAAGATCATTATTCTTAGGCTGAGCTTTAGGTTTGGGTTTAGTATCAGAATCAAGGAAAAGTGGGATAACGCATAATTAGTGATTATACATATATATGATTTCTGCTACTGCATCTGGTCTATTATTCATTATACTATAACGATCTGATGCAATATTAATTATTTTATGTTTCACTGCTAATTGGCAGAGACACTTACATAGAGCCTTATTCTTATCTCCATGCATTATAATGGCATGTTCAGAACTAATTTTTCTTAAATATGATGAGGTAATACTGTAAGGAGCTAAGAAGGTATTAATTTACGTTACCATCTTCTCCTTTTAACAGAAATGGAAATTTATCTGATATTGATTTTTGAATCCAAATAAGTAATTCTCTAGCTTGTTTTGGAACTTTTTCATAGATAGAAATGGTCAAGGTTCATCTTTTTCATTTTTAGCATATTCAGTACAATACCAAGAGTACTTAGACTTATACCAATCTGCATTACTTGGACTATAATAATCAATACAAAGGTTTTTTACATCTGCTGGCCTCATACATAACATTATCATCATATCTATTAAATTTTGCATTGAAGGAATGTTTCTGTATTACATTCTTTTAACCATTCTTGAACTTTTTCTAGGGAAAAGAAATCAGGACAATCAAATCCCTCATCTTCACAGCGTTCTTGCAATTCCCTTTGCTTTTTATTTGATTCAACAGCAATCATATATATATATGTAGATTTTATTGTCAAATTACTGGCATCCAATTTGATCAATTCTTTCCTAAGTAATTTGAGACATGAAGATTGAGCTATTTCAGTAGGAGCACTTATTGTGAAATTATATGCCAATTCATTTATTTCTTCTGATTTAAGATTTTCTTCATTTTCCTTAATATATTTAGCAAGTTCTTTGGTGGAAACTCTTCCTACAACACACCTTCCAGAAGCTTGCATGGGGGTAAGAGTATTTGTTTGTCCTTTGTTAAATCCTAAACACTGGATTCGATTTTGGGCATGGTTACACACTTTGGTGTCTTTCAAATCTTTAAGCAATTCTTCTGTGCAATTGCTAAGCTCGGTTATACTCATCTGAGGAGTTAGATTATATT